TTCCGGGGACTCAAGCTTCCCCATTTTTCCCAAAACTGCAGCCCGTTTTTTTTTTTTTTTAGCCCCTGGTTCTGTCTCTGTCCTTGTGGTGGGAGCAGCCGTTGTATAAATGTGTCTTTACAGCCCTGTGAGAGGAAACAAAGGCTCTTTCATTCTAAAAAAACGAAAATAAGAATTTGACGTTTGATCAGTGAAAAAAAGCTGAGTGTGAATGATAAACGTGAACGCCTCCATCTGAGTGAAGCTGTGAATCCACATCTCCGTCACACTGTCAGCCTCCAGGAGGGTGTGTTCAGTGAAGGCAACGTCACTGGGTGAAGATGCAGCATCATGGTAATGCCTGGTCTCCTGCAGCTAACAGTGACTTTGCTCTTCTTACTTTTCACTCAATAAACCTCTGTTTTTAAAGCTGCTCCAATTTCACCACTTCACAAACACTGGTTAACAATAAAGGTCCATTTAAGGCTGTGCTGTCACCAGGAAAATGCATTCAATCTTTAGGTTGTTAAATTAAAAAAATCTAAAACACAACATGAAAAAAAATGTCAGTATCATAAGAAGTCATGAGAAGAATCATGGTGTAAATGATGAGTGAATATAGTATTTAAGTATTATTTTGTTTTAATTCAAACTAATATTGACCTTATTATATTATGAAAGTATTTAAGTATTATTTTGTTTTAATTAAAACTAGTATTGACTATTATGAGTACATCATATTGTTATATGATTTATTGATTAATTTTCTAATTTTGTACATGTTGTTTTCATTAAAAAATTGTATTACTTTCTATAATTAGGAGGTAATAAGATGTCTCACTGTCTTTGTTTCTCTCTGTCTCCACAGTGATGGTGAAAGACTCCAAATCTAAATCTCCGACTCAGGTGAGAAAATGTCTTCTCTTCACATCAACACTCTGTTTTCTGAGGTTTTATAGATATCTATATATATATATACAATTAACTAAAAAAAAACCACTCACTTCTCTGACTTCATGCTGATGTGGAGCAGCTTGTAATACCTACTTTGGTCTTTAGAGGTCATCATTTGACTACGATGTCTTGCTTCATTTCCCAGACAGAAGTTGTATTTATTATAACAGTGATGTGTTTGTAACAAAATAAACAATGTCATTGTGTCAGGCTCCTTTTAAATCAAATTTATTTAGTCGTTTCAAATTTATATTTTATATACTAAATATAAATGTTTGTATTTTTGCCTTGTAATTTCATTCAACACCAAATCTCGGTTGTTTCAAACGCATAGCGACACCTACAGGCCAGTGTTGCAAACTCTTAAATTGACAACCTTCCCAAATTTCTTCTCTATTATGAAAATGTCTCCTGGTTTAAGTCTAATTTGTTGTAAAAACTCTCAACTCAAGTCTTTTTCTTGAAGTGAAACGTTCTCTCTGACTTTTCTGAAAAAGAACAAATTAATGTTTCCAGACTAAACTGGAGGTTTTTAAAATCTCCACACAACCTGTGATTAGATCAGACAGAGCTGTGTTTTCAAAGACAAACCCGTAAAATCCTGGTCAATGTCAACCACACACAGCCGCTCCATTTTCAAGGCAATTCATTCAGTTGTAGTCGAAACATTTGGCTCCTGAAGCACAAACTTCAACTTTGTAGCAACATGGACATAAACATGGAGAACATTTGTCTTCACTGAGCCAAGTTGAAGGACTGGGTTTTTGTCCTGGTTTTTAACTCGTTTCTAAGGACTGGGTTTTTGTCCTGGTTTTTAGTCCTGGTTTTTAACTCGTTTCCTCCACAGAGAAACATGAGAGTCGCACTGCTGCTGCCATGACTACCCTCCAGTGGTGACTCATCTGCCCTGCTTCCTGTTTTTATACTTCATGTTGTTGTTGCTCCGCAATAAAATAAAGTGATCTCTAGGAAAAAAAAAATCTAGCTCTCAGCTAAAGGTTAGCCCTAATGCTGAGTTATTTATGGCTACATTTCCAGAGAAGCTGCCAAATTAGCAAGAAAACTAAATAGATAGCTAAGGATTAGTCAAAAATGAAGAGAGCTGTAAATATTCTTTAACATCAGACTCTTTAGCCCAACCTTTGGCAACTGTAAGGCTATAAATTAGCTGGATATGTTTGGCTAACTCCTAGCTTAAACTTTAAGCGTACAGACAACTATTACTATTGTCAAATATAGCTTATAAATAAAATAAAAGATTAGTAAAAATTTGCTAAAAAAAGTGAAAAGGAACTAAAAAAATTGATTCAAAGATACCCTTAAAATTTTCTCAATTCACTAAGAGTTAACCAGTTCTCTGGAGGAAAATTTAGAAAAGATTGCTAGTTGCCTTAAAATGGCTAATATTTAGCAAATGTATTGGTAAAGGACTAAAGGTCCATGATGTCAGCGCTGCTTCCTGTCTGTTGTCTGCCTGTGTGTTCTGGCTCCATCAGTGAGTGGACAAACTCTGTGAGGTCTTTGTCACTGATGAAGTGGAGGAACTTCAGCTCCACCACTGAAGCCCTTTGTCCTCCTGCTGCCGGCGTGCCAACAGAGGTCCACGCCCCTCTGCCCTGACCAGTGAATGGACAAAGAGAGGGACAGATCTGTCCTCCTCCCATCTGAGCCTGCGGCCGTTCCTCTGTTCGTTTGTGAAGAACTAATAAGATCTTGGAGTCCACGCGCTGCTCTGATGAGTTGCATCATTGGGTCAAAAGTGACGTCACAACTGATTGGCCAGTGCATTCACACTACTGTTCACACACATTCACACAAGTCTTTAACATTAAGTACAGAAGTGTTTGTGTCCTTTCAGAGGAAGAAGAAGCTGAAGGAGAAGTCTGCCCCCTGTGGCCACTCACAGGAAGTGGTGGTGGTGCAGCAGCTCCAACAGTCTGTGACCTTCGCACCGGAGCCGCCACGTCAGGCGCTGAGGAAACGGAGGAGACGAGCTCATAAAGACGAGATGGAAAATGTCACTGCAGAGAAGGTCAGAAAGACGCCGCCGATGTTTGAACCTGTTATTCCCATAAAAATCTTCATCGTGGCTGTGTTTTCTCCTGCCCGTCCACACGTCATCGCTGCAGGGCCTTGACCTCGTTCTATTTACAGGAAGTTTGTTTGTTTGACGCAGGGCTGTACTTCACCCAAACATCCAATCCTGTTTTTTTCTATTTTTCAATAAAAACATTTTTTTGAATTATTTTACCATAAGCTGTATATAAGAAGTGGATCAAACTACACAGAACCTGGTGGAACCCTGAAGGCACCGTCTGCTGATTATGGGAATTATTATAAGGAATGAGAAACTTTGGGAAAAATGTCCGACAATGATTTCAATCTTTTTTTTAAAAAAAATAACTAATTCATAAATATGAATACATTATATGATACTGTGTTATGTGAACCTGGGTCTCGGCGCCACCACAGCTACAGAAGCTCCAGAGCTGATGTCACGCATCACTGATTGGCACCAGAGGGAACTCACCGATGGTACCGATTCAAAAGTTCCCCCCAGCCCGGGCCTCCTGCTCTGGACAGACTAATCAAGAGCCACAGTCTGTTAGGATTACGTAATAACTTTTAATTGGACTCCAACAGAGTTTTGACTATGGTTTGGTGACAGTCTGAGAGGTGACATGATTGACAGGTTGATAACGTCTGTGTTGGTGTAAAAAGGAATTTCAACCGAAGACCAAGTTCATGTCTTGGTGCTGGGGTTTGAAGTTAGTGTGAAGATGGATCAAGAGCCGAGACATGAAGAGGAGCTTATTGGAGTATTTGTATGGGTAAAAAAAAATACATGAAGAAAACTGCAAGAGGTTTAAAAAATATTTTTAATATTTTTATAAATATTTTTCAGTGTACATACTCTATGCTGCGGGCCTTATGTTGGAAGAAATAGTGTAGGTGGTTCCCAAGATGGGGAGCTTGCACTCCCAGGCTGCACTGAGCCATAACTAGGAGGTGGAGGCCACAGCATTATATTTGAAAGGAAAACTATATTTAAATAAAGCAGTAACTGTGAAGGTCACAGGTTCGATTCCTGGCCGTAACGGACAATTCTACGGTGGTGGTTCAGATATTTAGTGCAGACATTGGATTAACGCATGTACATAAAGATTTATGACGTTGGTGAAACTTATGACGTTTGCTGAAGTTAGGCCACATCATTGGCTGCTGCACCGCGGAGCTGCAACCAGATCTGCGCTCCATCCTCAGGCCTGGCTGCAGTTGTAGTTCGGTCGCAACTTGAAACAAGTGCACAGATCGTCCGTGCTCGTCTCAGGCTGCGGGCTGAGGGCGCACGTTCATCCGCTCCTCCTGTCGCTGCTGCTCCTCCTGTCGCTGCTGCTCCTCCTGCTGCAGTTGCGCTCTGTTCCTCCTGCAGCCTGGATGAGAGCAGATCTGCAGCGGACCTTCATCACAGACCGATAGTCGGGACAGGAGGAAGTACAGGACGATCACAGGACGCCCCTCTGCGGATGATGATGAAAGTTTGAGCTAATCTGGAATAATCCACGGACGAAGCCGCTGCGTCAGTCGGGATATTGTCTGTCGTTTCGCCTCGGAGTTAAACTAGCCGTAATCTCGGATTTTTTCAGCCGTGAGTATTTGCCGCATCACTGTCTGACGCTGTGAATCACATGATGTAGTAGGTTTAGGTTAAAGGGGAAAAGGACGAGTTCATTGTAAACAATCTGACTCATCATCATCATCGTCATCATCCTCTCAGAGTCAGGACATGTGAAGGTGAAGGCTGCATCAGCACCAGCATCAGCATCACCTAGTAGAGCAGGTAGAGACAGAGACTGTCAGAGACTCAGACTCAGGTGTGGTCCTGCAGTGATGATCCAGACTCCAGATCCTGATGTCAGCTGATCCTAAAGAAGTTCTGTCAGAAGTTCTCTGTCACTCCTGGGCTTGTCTTTACTACAAGATTTCACTCTCTTCTTCTGCCTCACTTTCAAAAGCATATTCTCCAGGTCTGTTGAAGGTTGCCTGGTTACTACGACTCACTCAGATGTTTGGCCTGCAGGGATGAAAGCTGGGCTGGAGGAGTGGGAAGGAAATACCTCTCTGAGCAGCCGTAGGCAGAAGAGTTTCTATAGAGTGTGGTAGAAGAAAAGAGCAGAAGACTGGAGTCAACTGCAGCAAAAATACTGAAGAAAAAAGATTCAAAAAATTCATCAAAATGGTTTCTCTGTGGACAGTTGTGTGCAGCCAAGATGGATCTGAAACCAGACCT